AGGGACGTACCACTTTTTATGAATTTCAGCTCGTTTGTCAGCTGGGTGACCTGGTTATCCATCTCGCCGATGGCCTTCCTCAGCTGGCTGCACTCACATGGGACACCTGCCGAGACCGGGTCCGGCACATCACGGAGGCTGATCCAGGGGTCGGGCCCAGAAAGAAGGACCCCCCCCGCCCCACCCCGCGCCCAAGAACGAACGTTATTCCACGGCCCATGCAGGCCTCTAGGCCATGCCAGGGATTGTGGACTATCCCTAAAGGCAAGGACGAGCCAAGGTCAGATTCGTGTCCTAAAGCACCGCTCTAGTCGGCGTGGGAAGGGAAACACGGAGGGGCAGGGACAGAGAGGCCTCGGAGAGGACGGCAGGAGATGATGGACGCAGGAGATGATGGACGGCAGGAGATGATGGACGCAGGAGATGGCCGTAACTGAGAGGACTGCGTGGCGTGGCTCAGGGCAGGAACAGCAGAGTCGGAGAGAAGACATTTGAGAAAAACGGTGGTGGCAGGACCCAGAGGCCATGGTGACTGTGTGACTACGGGGGGAGCTGGGGGAGCTGGGGGACCCCCGGCCCTGCGTGAGTGACGCGGCAGGAGGTGGCGCCACTGTGAGGCTGGGCTGGGAAGACGAACACGCCGCGTGGGCGGTGCCTGAGCCGCCCACGGGAAGAAGCGGAGGGGGGGCCGCGGTGTGGCCTTGGGCATAGCTGGCCTGACCCCCGGTGCGAGGGAGCAGTCGTAGGGTGCAGGCTGCTGGGATGTCTCCGGCGAGGAAAACATCGCTTTTCTCGGGAGTTTGCGGTCGGAGGAAGCGGGGACCCTGAGAGGCAGTAGGAATGAGGACAGCGTGCGCAGGACGCCATGTCTGAGCCGGACTGCGCAGGCGCCATGAGCACACGCGGTCGGCCAGCGGACGGTGGTCAGAAGGCGGGAGTGTGCAGGGAGGAGGAAACGGGAGGCCACGACCGTGGGCGAGAGCGTGACGGACGGGGGTGCACGTCAGCACACACACCCCGTTTGCCAGCCTCGTGCCGTTTTATTTCACGAGCTATACTTTTTTCAAAAGTGCAGTTTTTAAATACATGTTTAAAAATCCTTGGAGCCCTTATGCCATACCAGGTTCTCCATTAGGGCCAGGGGGTCCTATGTCGCCAGAATCTCCTTTTTCACCTGAAAAGGAAAAGCGAGGGCAGAGTCGCCAGCAGAACACGTTTCGCGAGTTCATAGGTGTCGGGGCTGACAACGCTGTTCTCCACGGGGAGCCCCGGGGTGGCTCCCGGAGCCACAGGAGTGACTAAGTACCCGTCCACACCTAGGTGCTCAGGATCTGTGTGTGTGACACAGAACACAACGCTTCACGGGACCGTGGGGGTATTGGACAGAAAACCCCGATGTGTCACAGAACAGTCTGCAGACGCCATGTAATGAGCCGCTGGCACCGGGAGTGAGGAGCAGCCAGTCCAGGTGGCCGTCCCCGCTGTGTGCCTCATCACAGCAGGACGCCCGGGCAGGACATGTGACCGTAGAGCCCCGTGGACGGCAGGCAGCATGTCACCCAAATGGAGAAGGCTCTCAGGGCCCTTCCCGACCCCCACAAGAGGCAGCATGGCATCGCAGGAGGGCAGAGCCCTAGCTGACCTGGGCTCCGGTCCCTGGACACTCACTCGATCCCTCCACTGCCCTCAGCTTTGTGGGGTGGAGCAAAACCACAGCCACAAAGCTTTGCAGCTACTGCGCATGGATATCTCCAAAGCACGGCGTCTCAGCCGGCATGGAACGGCGAGGGGCGGTGACTGCGCCTCCATGGGCTCACGTGCCATTGGCCTGGGAAGGGACAGAGCCCGGCGGTCTCCGCCCACCTGACCCCTTCGTGCTCTCTCATTAGCATCAGGGGCTGGGGAGTCCTGAGGCCAGCTGGACCAGGCTGCGGGGCTCAGGGATGAAGCGAATCGAGTAGGCTAAGCCCCATGATGGCCTTGGGGCGAGCTGTCCCTCGGTGAGACACCGGGGCTTACCCAGCCCTGCTGTGTGTTGGAGGCTTACACATCCAGGCTGGGCTGGGCTGGGGCAGCATGGCCAGACCAGGGCAAGCCACCTGACCCACTCACGGCTGAGACCCAGGCGGGGTAACAGGCTCGAGAGCCACACCAGCACTGGGCGACCCCGCCCCCCGTCCCTCTGGCCCCCGTGCCCTGCCCATAGGCCCTCCCAGCCTCGGTCCTGTGGCTTCCAGCAGCCAGGAGACCCTCCCTGGGGTCACTCGCTGAGCTCAGGATCTGGGGGGGTCCTCGCCTCCTGCACCCCGCTGTGCCCTCTGGGGCCCAGCACAGCGAGGGACAAATCAGGGCTGAGAGGGTGTTTGCTGACTGTGCCCCAGTGTGGGGAGGAAGCTGCGAGGTTTGGAGCCGGCCCTGACCTGCCCTGGGCCCCAGTCCCCACTCTGCCGTCCATGGCAGGGCCGTGCGGGTCACGCGAGGTCGTGAGGCGGACATGATTCAGACTGGCAGGCATCTTGCCGCGAGAGCAGTGTCTGAGGTGGACAGTGTCTCCGGGCATGGGCCCCGCCCGGCCCGTGATTAAGCTGCTGAGGGAGATGCCAGCCGAGTGTCCCCCGGCCCACCGGCTCCTGACTCGCAACTGGGGTGTGCAGGTCTGTGGGACGGGGGGACTCGGCTGCTCTGACCAGGCCAGCAGTGACTGCTGACCGCTCCCAGAAGCGTGGGACAGAATCTATCACGAATAAACTAACGCACAAAAGTAACCATGACCACCAGCCAAGGCTGGTCAGCCTGGCTCTCGGAGCACCGGGCACCAGAGCCTGGGAGGGGACGCGAGGAAAGGAGGCGTCGGAAATACCTTTGGAACCAATGGGACCGATTTTCCCGTGGCGACCCACACCGCCTTTCTGTCCTTTGTCACCCATGTCTCCTGTGGAAAACGAGATCAGAGTTGGTGGACGCACAGGTGATGCGATCTCTCTCCCGTCAGCATCTCTCACACACGCACGCCCACACGCACACACACGCACACGCACGCACACGCACATGCACACACACACGCGCACACGCGCACATGCACACGTGCACACACACGCACGCACGCACACACGCACGCACACATGCACGAACACACGCGTGCACATGAGACCAAAAAACACAGCTCTTAATGTCTTCCAGGTCATGTGTGTGGCTGACACCAGCAGGTTCTCCACAGGTCACCTGTCACTGTACCTGAGAAGCACACCCGCCCCCAGAAGCCACAGCCAGGCCAGGTCCTGAGCAGGTCCTGAGCGCCCCACACTGAAGCCAGTCCACACCCGACTATGGGAGGGGGTGGCCTGCCCCCACCCATAGGACAGTCCTCCCAGCTCGCTCCCCGCCCCAGGCAAACCAGGTGACTTAGGCTCCTGTCAACATAGAGGAACCAGGCCACCTGTACCAGCTGCGACACCGGGATATGTGAGTGGCAGAGCCATCGGGCCTGTGTCACTGCCTTTGAAGGTGCGCCCTTTGACCTGCAGCCTCCAGAGATGAGCTGGAGGAGAGGGTGGCAGAGGGCTCTGCATGCGTCACCGCCTGCCCAGCGACAGGGCCAGCATGTGGCGGAACCCCGAGGGGATCTGTCAGCACGGCCTGCGGGTCACCACCCCCCGCCCCTCACAACCACGCTCCTCGCAACCAGAGGGCACAGTGAGGGGCTGTCACGCCATGTCCCCGACAGCCTGTCTGCCCACCCGCAGGACCGAGATGGAGAGGCCGCCCCCACCCACTCACACAGCAGACCAGGTCAGGGCAGGCGACCTTCTCAAGCCCGTTCTTACACCCTGGGCAGCCGCCCCTGCCCGTCGGCCGGCCAGAGCCACAGGCTGCAGGCCAAGCCAGCCAAGAGCCAGCAAGGACCCGCAGGAAACGGGGAAGCCGGCCACCAGATCTGGGTGTGTCACTTCCTGTGGACGCGTTCACAATCGTCGACAGCCCGGGTCGGGCCGCTCCGCAGCACGGGGTGGGGAGGCCCTCACGTGACACGCCTGTCCTGCTGTGACACCAACGTGCTCCTGGCATTGTCATGTCCCTCAACTCAGAAGAGAGATCAGAGTCACAGCAAAGGCAGAAACACGCACCGCACGGCATGGCCGCCAGCTGCATAAAACGAAGTGTTTGCTCACGAAGCACATTCACGTCGTCCTCCTACGTGGTCACAGAAGTGACTCATCACACACAGGGAACTGGAGGGTCCGGAGGCTGGCCCGGATCAGGCACCTGGTCCAGCCATGACGGACACGGGTGACTCAGGCCTCAGGTGCCATGTGTTGCGAGCTGGACGTGGTGTCGGGCACACGGGAGGAACAGGACTCAGAGTTTGCCGAGGAAAGTGGGCACGTGCACAGGCAGCATGAGACACGCGGACTACGGCAGGCTCTGAGCTGGCCAGGCCAGGGGACCGGCAGGGAGGCATCCGAGAGCGGCACACAGGCAGCGTGGTGGGCAGGTGGACAGGGACACGGTGGATTCGTGTTTACGGCATGTCTGGGCAGGGAGGACGGGTGAGCGCCGACGGCTGCCACAGGGAGGGGCGTCTGGTGGGGACTGAGAGGAGCATCCAGACTTGAGGAAGCGGAAGTGACCGTCCTGTGAGTGCAGGGTGGGGGGCGGGGCGCGGGGACGAGCGGTGGGCAGCTGCCCTGCCTGGAATGCAGGAGATGGCGAGGCCCGCGGGAGGCTGAGGCTGGAGGGCCCCAGATCCGTGGCAGAGGTGAGGCGGCCTGTGGGGCGGCCTGCTGGAGACTGGGGTTGGGGTGATGTCACCTGGAGAGCAGGCGCCCGTGGGAGCAGCAGGCCAGTGGGACCATGCAGGGGGAGCTCGGGTCTGCAGGGGACGCTGTGTGGCCGGGAGCAGGAGGCACTGACACCATGTGAGCAGTGCAGGGGGGAAGGACCAACACCACGGGTGGCCGCGAGGTCAGGACACAACAGGTTGGCAGGGCGGCGAGGTCGAGGGGCCCCGGGGCTGGTCTTGGTGGGGTGGACGGGCCATCGGGCAACAGCTGAGGGACGGCCATTTTCTCCCTCACATCTCCTCTTCGCCTGGCCAAGAACCCTCCCCCACCTTGGCTGCCTTCCCCCACGTGCTCCGCTCCGTCATCCCTCTAAAGGAGAGACACCCTGCCCCCAGGCTGGGTGCCCATTGCAGCCTGACCACCACTGCCTCCTGCAATAGACCGAACTGTGTCTGTCCCAAATGCACCGCTAAAGCTGCCCTCCCCACACGAGGACACAGGAGAAGGAGACCGTCTCGTCCAAGGAGCGAGGCCCAGAGAAGCCCACCCACCGGCACCTTGACCGCGGACATCCAGCCCCCAGGGCCACAAGGGAATAAATGTCTGGTGTTCGTGCCTGACCGGCTGACCGATGCACTTTCCCCAGAAGGAAAGCTGACATTCAGAGTGGTCAGGTGAGCGCCACATACAGCAGGCTGGAGACCCAGAGCACGGCTGCCTCAGGCGGGTGGACATGGCCCTGCCCCGTCGCAGCCTGGACGGCGAAGGCCGCACTGGGCCTCGGCTTCTCTCCTGCAACACAGCATCACAGGTGCTCACGCTGCGGTCGCCCGGCACCTCCCTGTGGCTGTCTCGTTCAGGCCCCATGTTCTGGGCTCTAAACCCCGGCCCTCAGCTGTGGGCAGTGGGCCGGGCTCCCCAGCACCAGAGCGGCTCCCCACGGACCCAGGCACCACCAGAAGTGCGCCTTTAAGAGCTGGGCCTGGGGGTGGGGGGCAGACAAGGGCCCCGCCCAGCCCAGAAGGCGGGGAGCTGGTGACTGAGAAACCAGGGAGGCCGAGCGGCCCAGCAGAGCCCCCGGAGCTGCCTCCTGCGTCCATGGGGACGGGCGCATGACCAGAGAGGGGTCAGGAGGCCGCCAGGCGCCCCACACCCCTGTCCCTGCTCAGACCCTCCCTCCCTAGAACACAGCCGCCTCCGTGTGGCACCACACCATGCCCTCGGACACAGAAGACCTGGTCACACAGCACAGCCTTACAAGAAGGCCTCTGGGGACAGCTGGGCCTGGTGGACACACTACACAGCCAGAGGGCCACACCTCTCCATGCTCAGCTCCCAGCTCGTGACACCCAGCTGGAATGCATAGCACGAGCACCGCAGCCGTGCTGGGCTGGCATGTACACACACGTTATACACGTGCGCTCACGCACACATGCACGCATGTTATGCACATACACACACGCACGCATGCACGTTATACACATGCACTCACGCAAACATGCAAACACATCATGCACATACATGCACGCATGCACGTTATGCACATACACGCATGCACACATGCTATGCACATGCACGCATGCACACACATCATACACATGCACGCACACATGGCATGCACATGCACACACGCATGCACGCACATCGTGCACATGCACACACATGTTATACACATACACACATGCACGCAAGTTATACACACATGCACACATGGTATGCACATGCACGCACGCACACATGCACACACATCATACACACACATACACACACATTATGCAGATGCACACTTGTTACATGCATGCACACATTACACACATGCACTTTATGCACACGCATTGCACATATGCACACTGTACACATACACACATACTCGCATTATACATGCATGTGTGCACGCATGCACACGTGTGCACACACATGCACACACTCACATTCATGCACTCACACATGCACGCTTGTTATGCACATGCGCACACATGCACACAGATGCACACACGTACATGCCGTGCACACAGACAAACATACGTACACATATCCAATCGACATAGTCAAATATACAGACACAAACACACACGCTGTACACACACGCATGTACACGGCCTACCTTCACCTCAGTCCACACTGGCTGTGGATCTGCTAAGCAGAGCTGGGTTTGAACTCAGACTGTCTGAGCAGCCCGGAGCTCCCCTCCCGGGCACTGTCCCTGTCTTGTCCCTGTGACAGTCAGGCACAGCGACCCCGCCCCCCACCCGCTGGCACGAGCCGTTGTGTCTGACAAGAACGTCCTGTCTCAGGGTGCATTGAGAAAATGCGAGAGCCACTGAAACCCCCGCGGCCGTCGACACTCCCTGCCCCCCAGCACTCCCAGGTCCTTTGCGGTCACAAACCCTGGGGTCCCCAGAGGGGAGCAGGTGGGGACAGGAGCTCAGCTGCCTCTTCCTGCTTCCAGGGTCTTCAAGCTCCTCCAATGACAAGCCGCTCATCGCAGAAAGCGAGCAAACCGCCCCCCACGCTGTTGTGTGAGATGATGGGGAACACACGAGACACAGAGTCCTGTCCCTTTATGTTCGGGGGGCCCTAGTGGAGGCGCCCAGAGGACTGGGAGCCAGTGTGATGCCCCCCGTCACCCCGCCTCTAATGAGAAGTGCGTAGAACACACTTGTCCTCCAGACACGCAGGGGGAGGGGAGCTCACAGCAGGCAGGTGATTCTTATTAATTTTAATGCAGATGTCACACGGTCTTTTGAAGTGAAGACGGGGCAAAAAGAGCAATTGCAATTGAACGTCCTCAGCGATTTTTAACAAAGGCTCACGCGACATCGCAGAGCCCAGGGAGCGCTGCGCTGACAGGGGCCCCCTCCACCGCGGCGTGCCCGAGTCCCAGCCCCCGAGACCAAGGGGCCCGCAGCCGCCCTCGCCTCGCCCTAGCTGCGCGTCTGGGGACCAGGACCCTGAAAGCTGAGATGACACACTTAGCGGTGGCGTCAGCAAAGCCAGCTCCGTACCGTTTCTACACAGCTGTGCAGGCGAGAAGCGTGAGCTGCTCCTTATCTCAAAGGACAAAGGACGGCAGGGGGCTTCTGTCTTTGCCATTTCAGAAAAGGCAACTGTCGGCTTGCGCACTTTCTCCTGCGGCCCTCTGCATCCCGGCAGGGGGCTGCTCACCGACCGGAGACCCCCCAACACCCGGCAAAGCAGCCCAAGGCAGCCGCACCCACAGCCGGGCCCCACGGGGGCACAGCGGAGGCGAGAGGGGGACCCAGGGGTGGTGTCGAGATGGTCCAGACCGACCCGCGGTCCAGGTCCGTGGCAGCCCAGCGGCATCGGCCCCTCCTGAGCACCTCCTGGCTCCCTTCCCCTCAACCAAGGCCACAGGATGAGCGGGCGCCCTGGCTGGCTCTATGCCAAGCCACTAGCAGAGCCTCAGCTCAGTGGAGAGCCGGACGAGCCCAGGTCCGCGGGGCCAGCAGCCGCAGCGCCGTCCACAGCCTGGGCGGGGCAGGGGGACGTCCGCACACCCGGGCCACCCACCGATTTCAAAGATAATCTGAAGGTACTGAAGCTCAAGGTATTTTCCAAACAACTGACGGAGGCTTTTCCAAGCACAGGTGCCACGCGAGGCCCGCCCCAGAGGTACCGGGATGGAAGAGGTGGGGCCGCCCTGGTGGCCGCGGTCTCGCAGGGAGTCACATGCGTGGCGGCACGGGCACGGTGTGAAGCAGGCCGGCTGCGCTCACGGGCACTCATCAGGACATGCCACTAGGGGCCGCTTCCAGAGGACCGCAGAAGAAATGTCCCCGGAGCCTCCGTGCCAGGGCCAGTTTGCGGGCAGTGACATGTGCCTTCCCAGGGAGATTCTGAGTCCCACACCTCTGAACCCTGCAGCCACCCCCTAGGAAAATGTAAGTGCCCATGGTGGGAGGGACACTGGACAAAGCGTGACAAAGCCACACCTGGGAGAGGATGGGGGAGGCCTGCACACCTCACGTAGCATCGTCCCCGAGCGGGAAGGGCAGGGCGCCGAGCGATGTGTGCGTCACACAGCCCTGCCCGTGGGACAGAGTGCACATCCGCTTGCCACTTCATGCAGCGACCCCGCCCAGACAAACACGCCGGACAGTGGCCGCCGGGGGTGGGGACGGGAAGGTGGCCGTTCCGTGTGAATCGTTTCTGTACATTTTACTCTCTGGACTATGAGAATAGTTCATTTATTGTTAAAAGTCATATTTAGGGAACGACTTTTAAAAATGACTTTTAAAGGGAAAAGCGAGAAATAAAAATCAGTGCTGGGGTCGATGAAGGGGTCAGGTGTAGAGGGCGGTGACAGAGGCTCCGGGTCTCAAAGGGGACAAAGGCCCACGGAGGTCACAGCTGTCAAACCCACCGCAATGCACGCTTCACAGGGAGGTAGAGACCACGCCCCAAAACGTATACAATCCACGCACTGCTTTAAAAACAGATGTTGGGCGCCCTGCTTTGTGTGGTGATAGTAATTTTTAAACTGGAAACGGCCGAACTGCCCAACGCTGCGGCGGGCTGGGCCCCCCGTGCGCACGCGCGCTCGGCATGGGGCCGATCGCTGACCAGGCCCTTCCTGCGCCGGTTTCTCATGACTCGGCAGGAAAACGTGGCGCCGAAGCAGCGGGTCTGCCCTGGTGCTGCCGAGAGCACCC